ACGGGGGGAGGGCGGTGGGTGGAGTCGAGTCCACAGTCCGCGCGTCGAGGGGCGCTGCGCGGCGCGGCAGCCGCCGCAGCTAGGGCCGCGGGTGACCGCGAGGCGCGGGCCGCGGGCAGCCTCAGGGCCTGCCTGTGCAACCAGGGCCCTATAGCGTGCCAGGAGGAGGACCGGCCGCCGCCAAGTGCCGCGCCCCGCGCCAGCCGCGCACAGCGGACCACAGCGGACGCGATGGGATAATGGACGCAGGTCGGGCGAGCGTCGAAATACACGGCCGAGCTGAGCAGCGGTCACTCACACCCGGCCGCAGGGCGCCCCGCGGCCCGCCGCACCGTCACCCCCCGGGGGAGCCGACGAGCAGCTGGTATCACACCCGCGGCCAGCCGGGGGAAACCCTTTCGAGTGTTTGAACCAACCCCCGGCCGCGGGCTGGGAGGAGCCGACGGGTCCATTGGAGGGGTGCCAGGGCTGAGGCCGAGGCGGGACGGCCAAGGTCCTGCCTGAGTGCCACAGGCAGTGCCACACCACTGTCTTGTCACACGGCCTGCCCCCCCGGCCACACTCCGCAATCACGTCCAAATTTAATTTACAAACTCGAGACACACTGCCGGCCGCGCAGGGCGCAGGTTCAGGCCAACCTACACCAACCACTCCCATTTCACAAATTCGCCATATGGCTGAACATATTACGCCTCACTCTGGGATTGTACTCCGATTGATGAGCGGGATTGGGACAGGCGAATATGTGACGGCACTGAGGAACACTACACTCACCTTTCAAAGCAGCGATCAACATTGTCTGACATGAGAAGCAACATGCACAGCTGCTCCAGAGCGATGAGTTGCATGTCCCTCTCATCGCCCTGGCCCATGTTCAGCCATTCCAGCAGCAGCTCCGGGTCTACCTCCGCCATCTGTGAAGAAACAAACACCGACATTAATCTACAGAAGAAAATAAAAAACAAGAGCGATCCATCAGTTTTAAGATTGCCTCGCTTTTGGTTAGTACAATTTCCTCAATCAAAATAGAGTTTAAATAAAGAGCAGCTTCTAAAGATTACAAAATTACTGGTCTTGAAATTTTTAAAAACAATAAAACAATTTATCTTGGCAGTGAAACAAGATAGCAGCTGCTTCTAAATTAAATAAGAGACAATTGCTGTCCATACAATTTCGCTTCAGAAGAAGTGGCAGTTTCATTGCAGGCCTCTCTAGCTGCGCTGCCAGACTACTTCCAAAGCAAAAATGAACAGACAGTACACGAACCCAGGACATCTACCCAAAACAATAAATAAATAGTACGGCAAATGGTTGAATGACCGTAAGATTAAATTAACAAAACAAAGAAGGAATAAACATACCTTGGTGGTTTGGAGAGGTATTCAGCAAGGAATAAAAAGCCACACCAATGGGCTGAAATGAACAATGATGAAAGGATGTGAGTGTTTACATATATCAGGTCACTTAAAATAAACAGTTTAAGAATTTTTTTAAAAACTTTTAAAAAAATTAACAAAGAATTAAACCAATCTAAGCCAATAGTTACAAAAATGATGTTGAATGAATTTTTTGAAAAAATACATTGGGATCTGAACTGAGATGACAGGCACTCTTCATTCAAATAACACAATCCAGGTAAATAATTGAATTGAATAAAATACAATAGGAAACTAATCAGACAATGTGAAATATTGTGAGACATGTTTATGGTGATTATACAGCAGAACGGTCCTAAAATTGGCAAAGTTTGTCAAAGCACTGAATGACCTAAAAACCAGTGTTCCACATGAAAGAACGTCCATAACCTCACTCTTATTGTTCTTCATAATTCAATTATTTATTCAAAGGTTGATGGGAAAAGCATTGAAATTGACAGCTGGGTGACATTAAGTGTCAACGACAACCATTTCTGCTGAAGTGTTAAACTTCAGAATAAATCAGATAATACTCTCAGCACAAGTCCAGCTGATGTGACGGCGATTGAGCTTGAAGATATTTGAGTCAGAGTGAGCATCAGTCACAAATGTTTCCTGAATTTCGCTCAGTAGAACTAATGAACGCAAAATTTAAAACCAAAATCACGGACACCAAATGGACACTAAGCGATGCAATGAGCATGTGTTAGCTGGATTTGTTTTGATTGCCACACAGGAGCAGCGAACATACTACTACTCAGTTTTGCTAGGCCACAGTCCCATACATTAGCGTGGAGTGGGTCTGGAGCGAAACATTCGACCAAATTAAAGAAATAATGGAAAACGTTGGTTAACCATATGCCATCAAACTTTGCAATAGAAATGGAACAGGGTACCCCTTCCTGAAGTTAGATAATCTAACTCGGTGGAGGTAGTGCCATCTTATATTATTTTTGTTACGTACTACGAAACTTCATACCTTTCTACAATTTAATACCACATCTTCGGGCTCTATCTCCACACACTTTCACACGGAGAAAAACACCATCCACACAACACCAGCCCTCTCGCTATTTCCCGTAAAAATTTCACTTTAACGCATTTGCTTCAACGATCGAGCACTTCTCTTGTGCACGAAGGCAATGGCACTGGCAACTGGAAAATACATGTGACGTGACGTCACGAAAGATGTCACGTGACGAAAAAAGCTGACGGTCGTTAAAAACGTATTGGTATTGTATTTCTGGGAGAGACCTGAGCGAGACTAAACAACCAAATGGAATTTGTTTCTCATAGTATGACGAAGTTTCGTCTGTCTGTTTACAATTTACCATGCTCTGGTTGTAGGTTAAGTAAGGAATGAAAAAGAAGACTTTTATTTCTTATTACAATAGTTCAGCTTGTATACTGGTAGCATAAACGCTGTAATTTCCAACATCTCGCACCCTTTTATTATTCTTTTCATACAATCCTAGATCTTTTAACTATTGATCCATTCATAACTGTCAAAACGCCCAGTTACCAATAATGGCTAAACTTGTTAAAGTTTTCAAAACTTTGCGAAACAATTGGAAGAAAACAGTTTTTGGTACAGTTGCCTTGACGTACGGTTTCCAGTATGGATTGCACTCATACGAGTAAGTTAATCCGCTTTCATGAATTTCTTATTACTCTCTGCAACTTGAAATGGAAAACACAATTGGGGAAAATGTCTCATCTACACATTATCCTTTCTTAAACAAACGTTTCGTAACAGATAATATATTTTTCTCCTTCCTCAACCTGTGTAGGTGTAGACAAATGATGAGAGCTTATTGTGAAGCTGCAAAGGAAATTGGTGAGGCAGCCATACCAGTTGATAGCAGACCACGACACGTCACTGTAGTTCTTAATCCAGCTGCAAACAAACGGTTTGCAATCCTTCTACTTCCATTTTTTAGTACTTTATTTCTTCTCTTTTACTATGAAACAAATTGTTTTTGATTTTGCAGGAGAGCGAAAAAGGAATTTGAAGAATACTGTGCACCCCTGTTACATCTCGCAGGATTAAGCGTGAACCTGCTTGTAACAGTGAAAGAAGGTCAAGCTCGAACTTTGGTAGAAAAACTAGAAGAAGCTACTGATGCAATTATAGTTGCAGGAGGTGATGGAACCTTGTCTGAGGCAAGTTTTTCTCTCTTGACTCAGGGCTGAGCGTTAGTCATTTGCAATTTCAATGAGTGCTTATCTCATTTTAGGCAGTTACCGGTCTACTTCGGCGTCAAGATGGATTTGATGTAGCCAGGAAAATCCCCTTCGGTGTGCTGCCTCTTGGGAAAACTAATTCAGTAGCAAAGCAAGTGTTTGCTGAAAGTGCTGATGATCATATAAAACATGTTGTAGATGCAACTATGGCTGTTATTTTAGAAGTTACCAGACCACTTGATGTCATCAAGTTCCAAGTCATTCCTGTTAGTATTTTTTACTTTTCTGAGCCAACCTTAGTACCTTTGCAGTAATACAATTTCAATCCTTGCAGACTGATAAAAATGAAGAGAGTAAACCAGTTTATGGTTTAGTGGGCCTGGAGTGGGGAGCTTTTAGAGACGCAAATGCCAGAAAAGATAAATATTGGTATTTTGGAGGCATTAAGGGTTATGCCTCATATTTATTTACAGGCCTCAAGGTAAGGTAAAGGTGTTGCAACTAATGACATATAATACCGATTGAGGTCAAGTAATGTAATTCTATAATCTTTAGGATGAATCAAAAGGCGTGACTTGGAAAGCCCAAGCAAATTTGGAATATACAAAACCATGTGAAGGTTGTTCGAATTGCTATGGTGATAGAATTGATTTACATCCTGAAAAGGCCCAGTCCAAGTCATGGTGGAGTGTATTTGGAAAGAGACAACCAGGTTCAATATTATCTAACCCAATATCTGCGTTGGACATGAAACTTTTTTCTTTCATTGTGTATTTGTAAAATTTATCAAATTATTTTTTAGGACCAACAACCACAAAATACGACTATAGCCAGAAAGTAAATGAGGAATGCAATGTATTCGAAAATATTGATGTAAAGACAACAGATTTCTCCCTGCTTTCAACTAATGTGTTGAGTGTACCTAAAAAAATTCCTTACCTCCAACTGTCGTATGGTAGGATTCATACAAAATTATTGAAAAATTGTGGGCTTGAGCCATATTACTACTTTTTGCATGCCATTTTCAGGACCCGGCGAATTCAGTTATGAAGACTTTGTGAGGGAGGGATGGCGAAGGGAAAATGGCGAAAGTCCCTCACGTCCAACAAAAATATTAATGAAAGAAGTTAAACTTTACCCCAAAGAAAATTCTCAAACACCATTAGAATTGTTCGAAAATGTGAACAGTAGTTTAGAACCCAATGGAGAAGAAACCAACAAGAATTCTAAGAAGGTGAATAATTATTAAGCTGTTTGAAGTTACATTGCGCTCCCTCCATGTTTACCCAACAGTAACATTTCTTCTGCTTGTAGGAAGTCGAACGATGGATTTCTATTGACAACGAAGATTACGAGGTTAAAGCTGTTCAAGCTCTTCTTTTACCCAATCTAATTAAAGTGTTTTGTCCTGTAAATGCTCAAATAAATTAATGCAAAAGATGTCCTTGCAATGTTTTTAAGAAAAAAAATTGTTAAAGCAGGAGTATTAATTATTTATTTAAGTAATGGCAGTAGCCTCAGGCACTTTTGATGAGGGACGGAGAGGAGGAAAAGGGTTAGGGTTACAGTCTCCTTACATGATTGTGGCAAGAAAAGTAAAATACAAAATCTATCATTCGAATATGCAATAAGCCCCTGTTCCAACCACACTTGTAGACAAAATAAGTATAAGTATTTCTACTTATCACATTTCACTTAACATTAAAGGTAAACATTCTGTGACTCAGTAATGACTTTTCTGAATTGATGTACTATCTATGTTTGTTCTACAACCTCCTTTTGTTAAGAGATGAAATAAGAAATACCTAATAGAAAATGGCATTTATAAACAGGATTGCAAACATAAGATTCACAGTCATATTGAGCACACATTTACATCTAACTATACTTAACTGATCAACAGGCTTAAATACATTTTACAATTCACAGAACACAATGTTCAAATTGACATTAGATTAGAATGTTTTTGTTCCAGGGTAGCAGAAAATATAGGCCCGTCCTTTTAAAATAGAAACCTATACTCCAAATACCGAAACAGTTTTACACTACAATATATATTTGTACTAAATTAAAAATTGTTGTTTTATAAAATAAAGTGAATCTCAAATGTGTTAAAATGTGACCTTTTGCAAACACACAATGGTGCACTCACATCACAACACTAGTCTAAAAGGCACACACCACCTTTAACAGAATCTTAAGAGAGAAGATAACATTGCACATTTAAGTGCTTGAAGAATACCTTGCGAAAAGGGTACTTACAAAAATTAAGTCATAGTTCTTACACAACAAAATGTCGGAAAAGGAGAATACTGTCGTAGTACAGTCTGTAAAGGCTGCTAGTTGTAGGATTGTTACCACTAAACTAGTTTCATGATCAAAACTAAACACTTTATACTTGGTCTTTGGACATGCTGTGATGTTAACAGTAGACTGTACCTGTTTACCACTGGGCAACCAAACACTTACTTTTAGATTAGGTTTTTAAAAGGGGCTATGAAATTCTCAATTTAAATTCTACAGCAAAGTGAAGGCACAGGTTGATTCAGAATATGTACGTTAGCCTTAGCACGTACACATAAAAGAGTATAGTGTAGATTTTAGTTTTGAAAAAGAAAAAAAAAAAAGGTTACAAAAGATGTGATAAAACTTTGTAAGTACAAGGACTGTTATCAATCATGAAGGAAAGTACTATGTTGCAGTTTCAGTCTTCATTACAGCAGTGCCGTATCATGTAGCAGTACCCATAACTTGTGTCTTTTAAGCACAATAAAATGATTAAATAAAGCAGAGGGAAGTAAGCAAATTGAGATTTCCATAAAAGATTGAATATACAACAGAGTAAAATTAAATTCCTTATGCATATTGCATTGGTACAAACCATTTACTGCAGTAAACAAAGAATGTTACCCAACAGTTAAGATTTTCAAAAGGAAAGGAAAAAAGCATCAGAGGAACTTGCAAGCATGCCATCCTACAACACAGGGACACAGAAAAAATTGCCATGATGCCACAATACATCAAGTTTGATATCAGCTCAGTTTCCCTTGGAAATTTTTGTTCAGACCAGCCCCGCATCTTTTGCCATGGAGTAGAATATTGAAGTTTTCTTGTGCAGCAGGGCATCGGGTGATTCATACTCAACCACTTTACCTTGATCCAAGACAAGTACTCTGTAACAAAAATTGTTTCAAATTTTAATTTTTCAATGCAAATGCAAGATGGAATCACCCTAGAGTGGTTAATGTGTTAATACCTGTCAGAGTCCATGATGGTGTTGAGTCTGTGTGCAATTGTCAAAATTGTGCACTCTTTGAATTCTTCCCTGATAGTTCTCTGTGGGATAAAACACAACAACAATAAAACAGTCAATTAATTTAGATATGGGGGCTTTCCAAAGAATAAAGGATAGCAGTACTGTAGTATGTACCTGAATCAGATCATCGGTTTCTAGATCTACAGCAGCTGTTGCTTCATCAAGTACAAGAACTTTGGTCTTCCGCAGCAGTGCACGCGCAAGACAAATAAGTTGTCGTTGCCCCACACTAGATAGATAGATCAAAATGAAAAAGATAGATAGAGGTTTATTCTGTTACAGATTGTAATAGGCAAACTGGAAAATCCTGAAGGTTAACAGATATATCTCACCTCAAATTTTCACCACCTTCAGTGACTTCATGCTCCAAACCTGCAGCTAGCCCTTTCACAAAAGACTTCAAGTGCGCATGCTCCAATGCTCTCCAGATGTCATCATCTTTGAATGATCCAAACGGATCTAAGTTAAGGCGCATTGATCCAGAGAACAGAACAGGGTCTTGTGGAATGATTGTGAGACGAGAACGCAAGGCATGGAGACCAAGCTTTGAGATATCAACACCATCAATAAGTATTTGACCACCAGCAGCTTCAATTATTCTGAACAAGGCAAGAGTAAGCGAAGATTTTCCTGCACCTGTCCTACCAACAATGCCCACCTAAAGCAAATATAAGAATTTTTAAAAATGAGAAAACAGATGAAAAGTTACAAAACAATAACAAATAAAAGCTGAGTTAATTTATCACTAATTTCTGTTCTTACCTTCTCACCACCTTTGACAGTGAAGTTAATGCCTTTCAAAACCAAATCCAGACCTTCCCGGTAACGAACTTCATAGTCTTTAAAATCAACCTTGCCCTCCTGAGGCCAATTGGAGTCGACAACACTATTGGGGTTTTCCCAAGCAGCTTCCTAAAATAAATTCAGTAACAAGTTTAGTTTATCTCAATCACAAGATCTATTTAAAATGTCAGTCATGTTGGTTTCAATAGCTTTGGCATGAGCAAGCCACTGTAGATATGAATTGTGATTAAGCATACCTGAGGTGTTTCTCCATACTCTTTGATTCTCTCCACGGCAACAATGTTGGTCTCCACATCTGATGTCATTCGAACTAACCAGTTAAGAGTTTGTGTAATCTGCAAAAAAAAGTTTTTAAGGTGGTGGCTTGGAAAACAATATACCTTCCTCAAGATATCTTTAAACAAAAGCACAAGGTATCAGACCTGAAGAGCATAGCTAATTGACAATCCCACAAGTCCTGCCATGTCAGGACTAGAATCTTTGCTAATTACAGCAAACAAAGCAGCAAAAAATATGATGAAGTTTCCAACCATCTCCAAACGAACAGCAAGCCACCTGTAAAAGATATTATTTTGGTTGAAATATGGTAATACAGCTAATAATACAATTACTCAAATGAGGGGCTAACAAGACAGCTATCATCCAGAATAATGTACAGCTGACTAAATGAAAACCTCAGTAAAAGATCTAATTACTTACCGATTGGCTATAATACTGGGGAAAAAGCAAACTTGATTGAAGTCAACTTTCTCCTCCGACTCATTGACAAATCTGTCCACAACTCCATAAGCTCTGATGGATGAGGCCCCTGGAAATTTATTATATATTATACATGCTAGTGCTTTAAACTGATAAAAGGTAAACAAGCTCTCTCACCTGTAATACTTTCACCAAAATGAGAATATATAGGTGATCTTGAAACTGATTCAAGACGTTTTAACTGCCTTGAAGTTGCCACATAGAAGCGCTGCAAGAGGTGCGTAGTTAGAAAAGCCCATGAATCTGTATCATTACTGTAATGGCAAGCAATAATTGAAAAAGTTGAAACAAGTTAAACAGACCTGTACAAAATAGTAAAGAATGCCTACTGGGAGAATTACAGCAATAAAAAGGGGAGTGCTGTAACTGATGACTACAAGAGTAGCAATCACCTGAAATTTGAAAGAAAATATCACACTTATTAAATGTGTCAATCAGCAGTATTTGAATAATATTCAACTTAAAGTACTAGATAGATTGATAGATGGATCAAATTAGAGATAAGAAGCCTACACAACTACAAAAGCAAAATTGAAGCACAAAGAGAAGTTATAAAACAAGCACCTACTTTCAAACTCAAACTACAGAGACTTACACAACATGCTCTTAACAACATGCATGTTTAAAGGCAAATTTTAAAACTAGACTAAAGAAATGGAATGGGTTGAGGAGTCTGAATTAACATAGAATACATAGATTAGAAAAATGTCAAGAATTTTAAACACCGTGACTTTTGTTCAATATTTACATTGGAAAGGGTAATTTAAGGCTGTTGGAGATTTCATGGGCATTTCATGTGTTTCTGATAAAAGGAACTATACGACAGGAGTGTAGGAGAAAAATGTGTTAGAATAGATAGAAAGAAAAAGGCAACAGTGGAACCAATCCAGTAAATTTCTCAGAGGTTAGACTGATAGACCAGACAGACAGGATCTTGAAAAATGGATAACATTCCATGCATTCCATTAACACCAGCTTAACAATAAAACTTTACAAGAGCTAGTATCTATACCTGAACACAAGTTCTATCTGGATATTTCAAAAAATAAAAACAATTTAAGGGCACCATGAGGACATAAAACCCAATAAGAATCAAACATAATGACTAATTTCCGACCAAAAATATTTATCACCCATTTTGGAAAATTCAAATTATATGTGCTTTTGCTTTAAACATACCTCTACAGAACACCAAATGGTATCAGTCACTTGAGCACGTAAACAATTGTCTAAAATATCAATGTCTCGAGAAAAGAGAGCTAAGATACGACCAATAGGTGTTGTATCAAAAAATGACAATGGCTTGTGTAAAACATTCAATAAGTAGGTATGCAATTTCTGAGCAGCAAGGAGACATCCAATCGAAGGTGTCACTTCTATTGCTAACGACCCAATTGCTGGAAAGATCGTAGATAACTACAGATAGTTACTTTTGTAGGCCATGGGTTGTTCTTTTAGTAGATAGGTAGTAGATAGATAGACAAAGAGCTTCTTACAACGAAAAATATTTTTTAAAAGCGCATGCTAAAAATTCACAAGGTATCAGAATTAAGGACAAAACCATTATTTCATGTGCACTGATAATACTTCGCACACATCTGAAAACTGATGTTACCACAGCTGAACGTGTGGTGTATGGGTGGGAAAATATTTCACACACTAGAGCTAATTTTTTGTTCAATGTAACCAGTAAACTAAGAGGCACCCCAGCTTAGCACAAAGAAGAGTGGAGAATCAAAGCAATTAGCAAGTAGATTAAAATATCAACCGATTACCTCAAAAAAACAGTACAGAGTGTCCGATATGTTCTGAGGCAATATGTTGTCTAGAACATCAATATCTTTTCCAAACCGTGACAGAATTCTGCCAACAGGAGTAACATCAAAAAATGTGAGAGGAGCATGTATAGCGCCTTTCATTAGAAAGCCATGCATAAGTTTACTGGCCCTCAAACATCCCAGTCGAGGAGTAAATTCAACCAAGAGAGCACCAAGGCCTGATAAAAATGACCAAAATAATTTGTGTAAATTTTACAACTTCCATGAAATGAGTATCCATGAATGAGCATCACACTTAGAAATTACATCTGAAGAAAAATAAGAGACAGGAATATACACAAAATAATGTGTAAAGCAGCCAGCTTTCTTTAACCTGAGACCAAGATACAAAATACCTATGTAAAACCAAAAAGTTACATGGCTTCTATTATACTAATCGCATACACATCAAAAAGTGATTCATTTTCTTCAGATTAATGTATGATGCAATTTTGATGTGGCATAAAACATTGCATATCAGCATATCTCAATACAAAAATAACACAATAATTTGGAGTACTGGGTACTTTATGGTACAACATATCAATGCATATTTGCAATTTTTGGAAACAATTTTTATCATTATTAAACCGAGGAATCAAAATCGACAAAAACAAAGTTCCCTATCAAAAAAGAAGTTAAACGTGAAATGATCAATTCAATGAAAAGTATTCATGCAGAAGGGTTCTTAAGAAACCGAAACACAAACCATGCAGTACAAGGCATTTCATGCAGTTAATTTAAACAGTTGATAGATTTTGAAACTTTCAATTTGACACCATTACGTATCTGATTCCCACTTCACAGTATGGAAAACACAATTGTACAGCACTATAGGTATTACCCAGCTTTATGAGGAAAAAGAAGGAAATACAGTGATCCTCAGTAAGCATAAAAAAATATTAAAGCCCATTATTGTCCAAAATAAATCTAAATTTACCAAAAATCAAAAGAAAAAAAAAGTATGACAATGTTTTAAAAATATTAGATGAGTCTTGCAAAGTTATGAGAAAGAAAGGTAAATGGTAAGAGAAAGTTTACGAGTAGAAGATACACCAATACCAGATATGAACTAAATTGGCTACTCTGAAGAAGCATAACAGTAATGCTATAGACACAAATACCACACAATCACAAAAAGAAAAAAGCCCACATATATTATTGATAATATATATTCTTATGGTACCCTGAAGAAGCCAGAAAGAAACATCGTAATGATTCCAGGCATCGTCAAATCCAGAGTGTTGACATCAGTAGAGAAACGGCTTAGGATACGACCAATAGGTGTAACATCAAAGAACATCATGGGGAGGCGGATGATTGATTGCAGCAAATGATGATGCAAAATAGTTGCAGCATTTAGAGCTCCAATACTTAAACTGATGCTTGAGAAGCAAACAGAAATCACTGCAACATTCAAACAATAATAAGGTGAATTTTTCAACATAGTTGATAACTGCAAATCATTAAATGTTTTGGGGAAGTTTCTCATTTATAGATTATATTTACACAAAAATATAATTAAAGAACTGTGAGACTTCAAAACCGCAATGCTAATATGAACCTCTAGTAGTTTTAAAAGACTTAAAAGGATGACCCGCCAAGCACTTGGGTACAAGAATAACAATTTGAAAAATATAGTCTTTAGTTTATATCCTTACATTCCCCCTCTATGTTCGTTTTATGAAACACCTGCATGCGAGCCTGCATGACAGCTTTAAAATTGATTTCAAGCAACGCTTACAAGACATAACATCACATCTTGGTTTTCAAAATCAAAACTAGGGGACACATGACAATTTTCTAGCTTTCCATAAGCTTGAAAAAACAAACAAAAAAAAAACGAAAGAAAGAAAGAAACAGAGAAAGCTCCCACAAATTTCTAAAAACATCTGACAAGAAATTATTGTTTGACGATCCTCTGTTGCAACAAAGACAATACCTATACACCAAAGCAATTGATGAAAAAAATCTATAGAAGCTCTGAATCATGTGGAACTTTACCGGTACCATCAAGAAAACACCAGGGCCAAGAACTACCATCCAAGAGCAGATATGAAAAGGTTGTTACTGATCAAACCCAATAACACTCACACAGAAACATTTCCTTTTTCAAATTGAACTCCTACACTTCTGTCTTAAAAAAGACAAACATACAAGAATAGTGGTCCAAACAAAACAAAAA